ATGCTCTGTCTCTCTGTCTTAAAAATAAATAAACGTTAAAAAAAGAATCGGATGCTTAACTGACTGAGCCACCCAGGCTTCCCATGATCTTTAAATGGACAAATCCAAACAACTTTTTCAAACTAATCTTCCTAGAGCACAAAAGGGATCCATCTACTTCTCAGTCCTTACCCCGCATTATTCCCCTACTTGCTAGTTCCTGAGTAAGTACTACGGTTTCCCACCTCTATGACTTGCTTATACTACTCTATTCCTTCACCTAGAATGCCCTGTCTTTAGTTTCTGCCAACACAATGCCAGCCAGACTTTAAGGCTAGGAATTTTTCCCCAACAAGCTTTTCCCTACACTTTAAGCCACACGTATCTCTAACTCAGAACTGCTAAAGCACTTTTATGATACTGTTAATTATTTGTGTACCATCCTCTCCCTATCGTAAGTTCCTTAAGCCCTAGGTATTTATCTTCGTATCCTTTAAAATGTCAGTACTACAGAACTAAAATGCCAAATATTATAGAATTCAAGCAATTCATTTTAATTATTCTATGTAATTTAAGGCTAAAAAATTCATTTACCAACCAAACATTTTTAGGAACTCAAAGAATCATGTATAAATGCAGGTTTAACGGTCATTATATAATCAGCTTAAATTTATTCTTTTACTGAACACAGCTAGCCTACATGGAAATACAGTTTATCTCGCAACCAGGTAAATTCTCTGCTACTTGAGCAACTGTGTTCAACTTAACTTTACCTTGCTCATGCTCCAATAGCTGTAGAGCTTCGACTCCATTGCTCCCAGAAGGTCCTGCTCCAAGTTCTGATACAGACTCTCCTTCCAGGTCTAGAGAAGATACCGAATTGGAGCGATTTGAAGGACCTAGAGAAATGTTTCAACTGTGAGTGAGCTCTTTAATACTCGTGAGCCACCATGCAACTTTTCATGCCTTGATAACACAACAGATTAAGATGCTTTCATTTGTTTGTTTTGATTAAGGTGTTTTTAATACTGCATTTGTACCTTAAAAATATAAATGCCCTTTAAGCCAGCAATTGTGCTTCTAAGAATTTATCCTAAGAAAACAATTCAAAAATTCATGTAAGGTTGCTTGTTGAAGGGCTTCTTATAATTCTTGAAAAGTGGAAGCAACCTATATGTTTAACAACAGAAGAATGTTTAAGTAAATTATGCCAATTTGAAGTTAAAGAAAAAAAATTAAAAACCTAGGCTATTTAAGAATGTTAAATTACAAAGAGAAATATCACTGCTATACTGTTAGACAAAAAATGGTTACAAAACAACATAAACCTAATTTGGCTATAAATAAACCAAAATGCTGTTACTAATAGAATGGTAAAATTACAGATGATTCCATTTATGTTCTGCATTTTCTAGAATGACTATATACTACCTATTCTGAAAAGTTAGAGAAAAAGAAGTTATTATTTTATGTTTGAAATGATAGTAAACTTGGGCTTTTTTCATCAAAAAAGTTTGTCCTTGTCCATGAAATGATGAATTCTCAATCTTAGCTTTCAACTTTCTATTTTATTCCTACTTCCATTCTATCTTCCTGCTTTATCAAGGTATGAGTGTGTGAATAAAGAAATACAGAACATTAAAAGTATACACGACATCCTGAAATACTAGTGAGTCCATTTATTTCCCACTTAGACATGCATTATCCTCTAAAGGAGCTCTATAAGCATTGGTATATATCAATACTACAGAAACTTGGTATTATTCAAGCCTCAATAAAGACATATCTTCTCCATTGTATACGATCAAAGGTCTCTTGCAATCTTTTTCTTTTTTAAATTATTTTCTTAAAATCTTAATTTATTCTAGAAACAATCTTTATAGCCAACTATTTAAGATCATTAGAGGAAAACTTCATTACTCTCCCCAGGGAGAGGAACAGATGGTATAATTTATAAGGCTCCTTTAAAGATCGCAAAACAAAGTATTACTTGAATCACACAACTCTTTGAATGAAGTAACCCTTCACCTTCAGATATTCCTTCCAGATTATCACTGCAGAGGGAAAAGCGCAAGGTTTTATCAGGTTTACCGTGGAGTTTGTTTTCATCGACAGGGACATCTCCTTGTCCTCCATCCGAAAGTTGCATGTTTAGGACCTGAAAAATAAAATGGCTTTGGTTTATCACAACTGAAAGACAGATTACTGATATGAAAACAGACTGCAACAAATGCATATTACGAGATTCTGATCAAGGTTTTAAGTACCCCTAGAATAAAAGTGTATCAGTTAAAAAAAACCTGAACCTATGCCTTTCCATCACCCAGTGTCAGAGATTGAACAATCAGGTATCAGTGACTGGTGGGTAGCATCATAAAAATCAAAAGGCTTCGGAATCAGCAGTGGGGTCTGTCTGGTTCTGCCATATACCAACTATGTAATCTTGGGTAAATTTATTTACCCTAAACCTCAGTTTCTTGATTTCTAAAACAGCAATAGTAACAGTATGCATGCCATGGAGTTGTTGAGGGTTAAATTAAAAAATGCACAGAAACCATTTTGCACGGTAAAATGACATTAAATTTGCAGTACATTTTTTCAAAAGTTAATAAACTAATTCAACAGAAAGAAAACATAGGAACAGACTATCCTGTAGGCATCAGAATTCAATCAGTCTAGTTTGAACCTTGCCTTGATCACCATATACACAGCCACAAAAGTCCATACCAGAAGCTACAGTGTTTTCAGAGCCGTCTCTCCTTAGAGCTGATGGCCTTTTAAAAATGTTTTCTATTTGTTAGATGACTCCCAAATAACATAATTACTTTTCAATCCCCACAAGCCTCGTAACTCAGCTTTATATGTGTATCTTCAACTGAACGAAGAATTGAGGGCTTTGCTGGAAGTCAGCATGTTTTAAGCACACCCGGAACTCAAAATAACAGCCACCGTGCTCCTAGGCTACTGGTAAAACATGAAGGAAGAATAGTATCCTCCCTTGAAAAGGAAAAACAAACAACCGCTCTAAGTGCTTTCGGCCCTGCATTTAAATGAGTAAATTAAAGGGTTTTTAACAACTCTATACATTTACTCAGGTGATGCTTTTAAAGTCATTTAAAAATAGAATTTTTTTCCTACTTGCTGGAAATTAAATGTGGACATAAAACTTTTACATTTTGTATTTTTAAGATAACTTGGATCTTTAAACTCCTAGTGAGCAATGTGTAAAGAATCTTCAGGAAAAATCTATCCAAAGGTCTAGAGAGCGATTTGATTAACGGCAAACAAAAGGCTCCTCCTACCACAGTGGAGAGATTGCCCTGCAAGGGGATACAGGCTGCTGTCCGCGAGGCTGCCAGAACTGTGAGCTGGGGGAAGGCTAACGGGGAGGCAGAGTGCCACAGAGTTCCCTGGCTGAAATTCAGTGGTTGTTTTTCCTCATTCAGCATTCCCCTGGTTCTGGTAAGGCTTTTATTACATTCTGGAGTTCCTAAAAAGTTGATTCTGACAGTTTTTGCCAGCTCATTTGTGTGTGTGTGTGTGTGTGTGTGTGTGTGTGTGTGTGTGGACAGAGTTCTGGAGTTTGACAGAATTCTTTCGTATGGGTCATGCCACAGTTCCAAACACCGCCTTACCAACCACCATCGTCACTTTATCAACCACTATAACTGGTCCCTTTGTCCCAGGCCAGGAATTTTTCTTGACTAATAAGCAGTCACTGTTGAATATAAAATGATGCTTCTTTTATATTTCTTCTTTCCTTTTGCCTCTGTCCCAAGCTCTTCTGTTAACAAATATCTTAAAAGTGATGCCCACACCCCAACTCCATTTCTTCAAAATATTTTACTTTTTTTTAATTTTTTTTTCAATGTTTATTCATTTTTGGGACAG